ATCAGAAACAAACATAGATTTTTAATATTTAATAAACATTCTAAACAGAAAATAGTGTTTATTTTTATATTATTACAGCCTACATAGACTAGGTTACACTATATAGGAGTTTTAAGCCTAATCTAAAAATGACAATCTAAAAAGCCAGACGTGACAATTTTGCCAACATATCTGACTGACTTTTCTCATAGGCTTACTGTTAATAAAACTTTTTTTTACATTACAGGTTTATATTGTTAAAAAATATTTTAAGGCAATTGTCAAAGAATAAAAGCCTGCTTCTTTCAAAATACATTCTAGTTAAATTAAATATTAGTTAAATACCATTCCCATTACCATTTTGAGATGGGGACGCCACCTATGTGCGTATTTGGACCCAAATAGGAGTGAATGCTGAGTGTAGAACGGATTGTGATGCCTTGTGTAGCTTTATCATTGACTTAAGCCAGCTGTTTCAACAGTCAGAACCATTTATTGAAAGCACAATGATCAAGGACAGCTGATCAAGACCAATATCCACTTAAGCTAGTTGTACTCGGAGACACAAAATATCCCTTTAAAGGGACCATTAAACCTTCCATCTACCAGAGGATTACCTGCCTTACCAGAGGATAGTTGCTGATCCAGACGCTGATGTTGAAGTTTAGTACATCAGCACCTCATACGTAGACGATCTCGCTGAGTTAACTGCCTCAGCTGTGCTGATACCATCTGTTGTTGGTCATTACTGATTCAAGACTGCTACCTTAGCTAAATCACTAATCCCATGTATGACGTACGTGTAGATTAGGCCTACCTTTGAAATATTGCGATCTGGATAAAAGTCGTATCAACAGGAAGTTGCTTCTTGTGACTTACGATTTAAAGGGAATCAATAAATTATTGGGAATTTAGGGAATGAAGTAAACTAATGCAGATTTATCATAGAAAATCATGTGTCTAACTAAAATAAACGATATAATTCATATAGGTTTACAATTGTAAGTAAAGCCACCTAGTTTTGTGAACAAAAAGACAATAGTTGATTAACTAAATTCAAGTGTAAATTTACAATCAAGTCAGACACGTTGACAAAGAATCCAGCTTTTTTGCATTGAGGCAGCATTGCATTTAAATTAAAAAATTACCAGTGGTTTTCAAACCCTTTTTTATTTTGAAGTAACTTGATTATTTATCGGTACTTCAAGTCAACATTTGATGCACAGCGATTATTGAAACATTTAACATTTCTTTCCTTTACGTTTTTGAAAATTCGTGAGTAAAAGGATTAAAATCCGTTCTAATACATCTTTTATCTATTTTAGAGATTCCTATTATATTTTAATTTACTCGTAAATAGAGACCTGTGAACCAAATGATATTTTAAAATTTGATTGTAATTTTATAGTCGTGAAACATGCGTTAACCAACACAGCCTGAAATCCCACAACGCTTTTGTTTTCTGTTCAATAAATACTGCAACTTGAGAGATTGGTAGTAGATACTGGATCATTAACAATTAAATATTTTATGAAACCTTTCCAATGTGAAAAAAAATGCTAAAGAGTTGTTACACTGCGTAGTTTGTTTACAACTTTCTACATGAATGTTTTATTATATGTATATAATATGGTAAATAGAACTTGGAAGTTGTGAAACAAATGGTGGCGTCCAAAGCATTGCCTAGCCACCGTTACTAAAACAGGGAACGCCAGGGCAGATTGAGAAGTTATATTGGCAAACTAAAACATCAACAATTAATGATGTTCGAATTGTGTAGATTTTGTAACTGGTACTAATATATTCGCTATTAAAATAAAGTAGCGATGAAAAATGTGTCTGTATATTAATAAAAACTATTTAAAATGTTTTAAGTGCTATGTACTTTTTATAAAGATTATAACAGCACTATTGATTTATGCTTTACTCAAATCGTTGCTCAACGCCTTGTCACTTTCATATAATACACAGGTTATTGTAAACATTTACATATTTGTATCTCATCGTTATATTGTATTCTCTAGACACCAACGTAAGTGTAGTTTACTGTGTCTCTGTTCGTAAGAGTATACACAAGAGACGCACAATATTTGTGTTTCATCACAATGTCTCACTACTTCAGGCGCTGTGTTGTGATATTGTGAATTTAATTTTAGTAACTACAGCGCTCTATTTTATCAAAAACTGCCAACATTATGTCATGACCTTATGACATAATATCAATAAACTTACACGTACTTTTGGGATCGTTTTAGTATGTTTTAGCAAAACACCAGCAATCCACATTCAAGTTTCTGGTTTTGTTAAGTTGATAACCATATGGGATGATAGCAGTGTTCTATTTTATGAAATATGATGAAATTACAGAACACTTATCACTCATAAAAAATATAATATAAATAATATAAACAGGAATATGAACAAACTTAAATGGCGAAACCTCAAATCTTAAAATAATAATTAGTTTACGAAATGATATGTCCAAATAGAAAACAATTATCTTTGTTTTAATAAAAGGGCTACAAACAATACATATGGAGAATAGTTTGAAGTTTTGTATTAATTGACAAGTGCGACTCATCATTGTTCCTAAAGACTGTTAAAAATAAAGTAAGACACAGTTAGATATATTTGCAGCATCGTCACGTGTGAGTCTTCAAATTGTGCTGGCTCCGCTGGAACTGTTACAAGATTGTATGTAATGGTTGGTGTTTGTTACAAATCCAACACGAGACATATATTTTAGAACAGATCACTGTCATATTTTACTACGGGGTTGTGTTTGATTTTCGTTAGAATTGAGTACATTGTATGGATGAATTATATTAACATATGTCAGAATCATTCATAATTAAAATCACCCATTATATTACTAAATTAATTTAAAATTATATTACTAAAAATTAAATACTGGGTTTGTCATGGGGAAAACTCCTTTAGAAATAGACAACCTTTGTATATAAGTTTTTTTTTTTTTTTTTTTTTTTTTTTTTTGGGCAATTAAACTAGTTAAAAATCGCTGGTGGATGTTACCAAAAGAACGTCGAATCGTTGGCCAGACGCCGTGGAGTTTCTGTTGCCAAATGATCTACATTACTGGCAGGAAGAGTCCAATCATTAGGCCTAAGGAGAAAGATTTAATACATATTAACAAGCTATTACTATGAATAATGCCATTTATTTGTTGGAGTGGTATTCATTAGTGAACAGGCGTATTATTAATCATTTCTCTTTAAAAGTAAAAAAAAAAAAACATTATTAGACTTGTAAACCACGACCATAAAATTTTAACTTCAAATATATTTTCTAAAATTTTCTAAAAATTCCTATTGCCTTGATAAAAGAGGAATTCCTTAAAATACATTAAATTGTTATATCATCCGATACGAGAACTGCATGTTTATTTATTTCAATGAAATTAAAATAAAATTCTTTTGTTCTAAACTTTTCTCTCAAACTTGAATTTGAATGATAACTACGTAAGCAATTTCGTTCACATTGATGAAAAATACATTGAGGTTTGTTGGTTGCCAAGGATACGAGAAAGGGCATCATTATGACAACTGAAAGAGAGAGAAAGAGATTTGTACCATTGTCATGACAATCTCATTTACTTTTACAGTCAAGAGTTGACTATGGTAATACGTTTACGTTTGAATTTCCTGTGGGTTAAGGTGTAATTTGAGGACCGGTTTATTTTCCTCATTTCGTTGCAAGGCATGACCTTATTTCGTTCTAAAAGTACTGCGAAGATTTCCAATTAACGTTTGCGAGCTAGCTAGTAAGTAATTCTGCAAAATGTAATATTTGTGCCATAGCTTAGTGAATATAGTGTTTGTGTAAACAGTACGTTATGATGTACGATTTTTCTTAAACATAAAATCGTTTTGGTATCTTTCATTGTAAATTTACGCTTTTGTTAAAATATATAGGGTCTTGAGAAACTAAAAAAGTCTAGGGTGAAGTATTGAACGTCATTGGGAGAAAATCAATACTTCAACAGAGTATTATAAAATTCATAGTTATTGTTTTATTTCAACATGATATTTAAAATAATAAAAGATTGTTATCAAGAAAATTCTCAAAACAACCCTTAACAGCATACAACACTATTTATAGTATTTATAGTATTTCAATTAGTTACACAAGCATTTAGTCAAAGGGTCTTTTAAACTCATCGAAAATTATGACTGTTATTTACTGTAGTTTTAAAATAACTTCTGAATAATACCGGCACTTCACAATTGCTCATAATATGTTCCGAAATCGTTTGATTTAAACATGTACTATGTCATCACAAAACCATTTATAAGTTAAATTACTTTATAAACTTTTACTAAAATCCACTCATCATAGTATGGGTTGATGAGCGTGGTTGTTCAATACCGTAGTTCAAGTTTTAATCAACTAATTTCAGATCATATTAATATCTGCCTGTTTAAGTGGCATCTTTAACACATAGAACGTACATACTTATCTTTCCTCCAAATGGCGTTCGTCAAAACAAAATGAGTTCACAAAACATGCCTCATTTTTTGAGATTGTTTTTTTACGTGTTACGTCATCCTTTCAATAGTGCGTAGCCACTTGTGTCAATATCAAAACCAATATCAATTGTTAGTTTACATGAAACAATGATCAGCTCTTGCTATATAAGACGACGTATAAACCAAAACTGTTACATCACTTTGTAAGGTAAGTTATCATCTTTTAACCAATAAAATAAAACTTTAACTAAATAGTACGATCAAGTTTTATAATAGCTTGTTGTGCTTATGCGAGTTTATTATTAATAACTGGTCCGATTTGTATTATTTTGCCCAACAAAAGATTTGCCTATTTTAAACAATTGTATACCTTTTAAATACATAGATTTTATTTTTTATCACAATAATATACTCGTCAGTATATTACCAGTTTGAATTGTTAATGCCAACAAACACGTGTAAAACTACGTTTGTTTTAAAGCCTTTATTTAAAACAGGTATTATTAGATTGCACATTGATAGATACAACTTGGTTTGTTTCAGAAAGAACATCACAATGTCTCTTGTCAAGATTGTTGTTGCTGCTATCGCTGCTGTCTGTGTCTTCTCAGGTAACTGTTGTTTAATATTGTCAATTTATCATTTGCAAATCCATATAAAATGAGCGTATCAGCTTACGTAAAAGAAATCTAAATTTAGCTGTGTGCTTAAGGAATGTAGTATAAATATGCCTTACAGCTATTTTTGTCTTAGTTAAATGAATAATAGGTTAAGGCTTACATAACACTAGTTGTTATTTTCATTTGTCAAGTTTACCATGTATTATATAAGCTTTGGTTTTCAACAAAAGATAATTATTTATTTACTAATAAAACCAAAACTAGAGTATTGACAACACCGGTTAACATTTGGTCGAAATGAAATGAAAAATAAAAACAAATCAAAATAGTATATTTATACAGGTAAAGTTAGTTGTATTCATTGGTTAGTGCCACATGGCCCTCCCTTGCACGTAACCTGTGGATAAAAATCCAAACATATACTGTACAATATATCCTACAATCTATTTTCAATGTTTAATGAAAAAAAAAAACAATCAATTTGGGGAATACAATTTGTCTATGAGTCATTTATGTAAAAGGCTAGGAATTATCTTAATTTCACCTCTTCTCAATCAATTATATGGTTTTATTGAAATGCCATTAGATTCTTTATTTGAGTTTGTTGCAAATAATTATTTTATATCTGTGAAAATCAGACTTGGTTCAGAGTAATTCATTGTTAGTGAAGATATTCCTCGTTTTAGGTTTCTTAATAAGCCATCAAAACAATATATTTTTTAATTTTTACAGGGATGGCTCAAGCTGGTCATGTAGCGGGACCTGGATGCCATGGATTGGTGAGTAACTATGTTTGAGTGTGCCGTAATATTTTATTAGCTACATATTTATACCATTGTAAAAATATTTACTTCAATATTTTAAGACATTGTAACAAATAACTTGTTTATTATTTATGAAAAGAATTGTAAGTTTAAATAAAGCAAAAGCGTCTTTATTATTCTTTTTAACAGCAGGTTCTAGTATATTTTATTTCAAAGGGATAATAAATGCATTAATTTTAAATAAAAAAAGGTTTAAAACGTAGTTTTAATTCATAAATTCATCTTTATACAATTTTAAAACTTGCAATGAAGAGTTTTTCCGATGTTCAAACTTTCGCCTTTTTAAATTGCGTGTATAACTATCCCCACAAAGACTGAATCAACATTTATTTTTTTAAAGATTTTTAAGATTTTTTTAAACTGCTTCCTTGTCAGAACTGAGTACTTAAGAACCTGCGCCAGCCTAAGCTTCGACGCTGCATGTCTTGCAGGCAGTAGTTCTAACGGTATTTCCTTCCAAAATGTATGCAAGGTATACGAGAGTATACAGCTAATAAAATGGCTGTAATATTTGTAAAATATATTACACATAATATGCACATGTCTTGAAGCTCAAAAAGACGATATATTTCAGTGTCCTGGAGCTGAAGAAAACGATCAGTAGAATACCAACAAGACATCGAGTGATTCACGTGAAGATGTAGAGCCGATTAGGAACATAAAATCTATGTTATACTTTAGACAATACATGCTATAACTAAATATGAATTTTTTATTTTTCATCTCCTTTTATCTGTAGGTTATAAATGATATATGGTAAAATAAAGGGCAAATGTCTTAAAATTTTACTGCAGATGAAGTCTTGATGGTAAACAATGTCGTCAAGATATATCATTCTATATCATTATCAGTCTAGACAATTTTGATGAGTCTTGAAGGATTATGTTTGACTCCAAACATATTTAAGCTTAAAATATGTGGTTTGAAAAATGTCATGGTAAAAAAATGCACGAATTGCTTAATAGACTGACTTAGTTGGATCAATAACAACTACTCAATAACAAAGACTCGCACAGCAATGGGTCGCAGTGGATAACGTATAAACTGACGACTACTTTATTGATGAGTCTGAAATCAAACTAAAAAGTTATTCTACTAGTTTTTAACTTTAAGACGGTGCTTTTAATGATTTTTGATGCTTTTAACTATATAGACGGCGCTTATCAAGAATATCTACTTAATCCTATAAACTCCAAAATTAAGCTTCTAAAAAGCCACCTAAAACATAATTAAAGTTTGCTACCCTTATAGGCCCTACTAATCTCTAAGATGGGTGTTTTGCATGTTTGCAATATGGTTTGGTCTCGAAATACTCGTACGTGCAAATTTAATACAAACTTAAAATAAGTTCATTACAAATTGTAAAGGTATGGATTATAATTTCATTACTATTTGATTGAATTGTAAACCTAAAAGATTTAACCGTCACTTTAAAAATAAAAAGGGAATGAAAGACAACACAAATTTGACGTCACTACATATTCATGGGCTAAGTAATAGATAGTAATTAGAAGTAATTAGAAGTAATTAAAAATAATTAGATATTAAGTAAATTGGATAGAATAATTGTTTAACCCTCTAAACGAATACAAATATTGTAACCGTGATTACGTATCACTTTAACGGTCATGTCACAAAACACTACCAGCATTTAGTCATGAAAAATAATGTTATATGGTTCTTAATAATGTGTATATACATATTATATGTATATAAACCCCATATACAGGGTGAGTTTTAATTGTCCCCCCCCCAACTTTTTTCTACATTTTTTTCAAATATCAATCCCAGACCACTTCCAAACATTGTTGGGTAGTAAGTACTTCATTTTGACAAGGTGGTCATTTCCGGCCGCCATCTTGGATCCGCCATATTGGATGCAAAATATTTTTTTCAAATGTAAAATTGGGGTTGTGACCCATTATTTTGAACTAGATATTTACCCTGATTACAATGCCGCAAACCGTTTAAAAAAATCTTGATCCAGTCTAAAGTTATGAGGCCTTTTTAAAACTTTATTTTGAGCCCATTTTAACATTGTGCATTTACAAACTAAGACCATAATCTCAAAATAGTGCTAGATAAAGATAAGTATACACTACCAGTCATTGCCAATCTATTTCCACTTGGTTATGAATTATGTATTTTTTTCGGCCGCCATCTGTGATCCGCCATTTTGAAATGTGATAAATTATTTTAAATATGAAGGGTGTGTTGTATTCCATCATTTTGAACTACATTTTTATGCTAAACTCAATGCCGCAATCCATTTTTTGTTATCCAGTTTTATTTATGAAATATTGCAATATTTTTGTTAAAAATCTTAATATTTCAAAATAAAAATATGAAAATAAAAAATGGATCATGGAATTGGGTTTAGCTTAAAAAAGTAATCCGAAATGATGGGTCACAACACCCCTTTTATATTTAAAATAATTTTTCACATTTCAAAATGGCGGATCACTGATAGCGGCTGAAAAAAATACATCATTTATAACCAAGTGGAAGTATGTTGGCAATGACTGGTAAAGTATACTTATCTTTATCTAGCACTATTTTGAGATTATGGTCTTAGTTTGTAAATGCACAATGTTAAAATGAGCTAAAAATAAAGTTTTAAAAAGTCCTCATAACTTTAGTATGAATCAAGATTTTTAAAAACGGTTTGTGGCATTGTAATCAAGGTAAAAATCTAGTTCGAAATAATGGGTCACAACCTCACCTTTACATTTGAAAAAAATATTTTGCATCCAATATGGCGGATCCAAGATGGCGGCCGGAAATGACCACCTTGTCAAAATGAAGTACTTACTACCCAACAATGTTTGAAAGCGGTCTGGGATTGATATTTGAAAAAAATGTAGAAAAAAGTTGGGGGGTGGACAATTAAAACTCACCCTGTATGTATATTCATGCATATAAACACCAAAAACCCCAGTGAAAGAAATATTAAAGCGATTACAATGTTAGCTATCTAAGCTATTACAATGCGACTACTTTTTCATCGGAGCTCTGTTACGTATGCGAGGTTTTATGACGAGAGCACTTAGTAAAGTGGTGTTGTTTATGAATGTATGACGTCACACATCTACATTGTGCAAATGTAACACATCACATCATCAACTCTAATCACAGCTGAGTTGAGGCCAACTTGACTCTATATTAATGTGAGATAAATAAACGTACTAAATATATAAATAAATAACAAATTTACTAACGTTTACTAAATAAATTAATTTACTAAAGTTTAAAATAGTAGCTAACCTAAAAATTATACAACAAATAAATACCAAAGATCAGGAACAAACATAGATTTTTAATATTTAAATAAACATTCTAAACAGAAAATAGTGTTTATTTTTATATTATTATAGCATACATAGACTAGGTTACACTATATAGGAGTTTTAAGCCTAATCTAAAAATGACAATCTAAAAAGCCAGATGTGACAATGTTGCCAACATATCTGACTGACTTTTCTCATAGGCTTACTGCTTTTTTTTACATTACTGGTTTATATTGTTAAAAAAATATTTTTAGGCAATTGCAAAAGAATAAAAACCTGCTTCTTTCAGAATACATTCTAGTTAAATTAAATATTAGTTAAATACCATTCCCATTACCATTTTGAGATGGGGACGAAATTATGGTAGATGGTAAAACGGATTGTGATGCCTTGTGTAGCTTTATCATTGACTAAAGCCAGCTGTTTCAACAGTCAGAACCATTTATTGAAAGCACAATGATCAAGGACAGCTGATCAAGACCAATATCCATTTAAGCTAGTTGTACTTGGAGACACAAAATATCCATTTAAAGGGACCATTACACCTTCCAGCTACCAGAGGATTACCTGTCTTACCAGAGGATAGTTGCTGATCCAGACGCTGATGTTGAAGTTTAGTACATCAGACGTAGACGATCTCGCAGAGTTACTGCCTCTGCTGTGCTGATACCATCTGTTGTTGGTCATTACTGATTCAAGACTGCTACTTCAGCTAAACCATTAATCCCATGTATGACGTACGTATAGATTAGGCCTACGTTTGAAATATTACGATCTGGATAAAAGTCGTATCAACAGGAAGTTGCTACTTGTGACTTACGATTTAAAGGGAATCGATAAATTGTTAGAAATTTATGGAATAAAGTAAACTATTGCAGATTTGTCATATAATAAGATGTGTCTAACTAAAATTGACGATACAATTTATATAGGTTTAAAATTTTACGTTATGCCACCTGGTTCTGTTAACAAAAATACAATACTTGTTTAAACTAAATCCAGGTGTAAAACCGATTTACATTCAAGTCAGACACGTTGACAAAGAATCCAGCTTTTTTGTATTGAGACAGCATTGCATTTATATTAAAAAATTATCAGTGGTTTTCAAACCTTTTTTTATTTTGAAGTAACTTGATTATTTATAGGGACTTCAAGTAAAAATTTGACACACAACGGATGATTGTAAAATTAAATATTTTTCTTTTTTATATTTTTGGAAATTCGTGAATAAAAGGATTAAAACTGTTCTATCTTTGATCTGTTTTGGAGATTCCTATTCAATTTAAATTCACTCATAAATAGAGACCTGTGAACCAGATGATATTTACAAATTTGATTGAACTTTTGTAATCGTGAATTGTGCGTTAACAACAAAACCAGAAATCCCACAACGCTTTTGTTTTCTGTTCAATAATAGATACTGCAACTTGAGAAATTGGCGGTAAGAAGTGGATCACTAACCATTAAATATTTCATGAAACCTTTTTCCAAATTACATTAATGTATTTTAATAATATAATATGAATAAAAAGGTATGGTAAAAAGAACTTGGTAGTTGTCAAATCAATGGTGACGTCCAAAGCATTGCCTAGCCACCGTTACTAAAACAGGGAAGGCCAATGCAGATTGAGAAGTTAAATTGGCAAACTAAAATACCAACAATTGTCG